GAGCCCCCACCAGATTGAAGCCAGACAGAGATCCAGCTAAGACCCCAAATAGGCCTGCATAATTTATAAGGAAAAAAAAAAAACAGAGCTGCCAGTGCCAGCAAAGCTCTACAAAGAACCGGCAAGAAAAAAACTAGTACATAAGACCACCTCAAAAGAGACCATACCAGAAACAACGAACCTATTACAACCAATACCTTAAAAGAACACTAAATTGTGAATCACTCCCATAATGTGTTTCATCCCATGGGAAACTCTTAAAGCATCTGTTTTTCCATCAACATGCTAAAAGTAGATTGTACTGGAGAAATTAATAAAGAGTTTTTCAGTTGATTGAGTGTTCTGTTTTTGAGTTATTGTTACAACATAAATCGCGAACCAAGAACGCAAAAAAAAACAAAAAAAAAAACAAAAAAAAAAAAAACTAAAAAAGACAGAGCTGCCAGTGTCAGTGCCAGACAGAGATCCAGCTAAGACCCCAAATAGGCTTGCATAATTTATAAGGAAAAAAAAAAAAAAACAGAGCTGCCAGTGCCAGCAAAGCTCTACAAAGAACCAGCAAGAAAAAAACTAGTACATAAAACCACCTCAAAAGAGAGCATACAAGAAACAACGAACCTATTACAACCAATACCTTAAAAGAACATTAAATTGTGAATTACTCCCATAATGTGTTTAGGACCCCAAATAGGCCTGCATAAGAAGTGCTTTAATTTGGTCCCCTCCTCTGTTTCAAGGACAAGCTATTTGCAACCATGAATTCAGTGTCCACTGCACCTATGCCTAATACTTGTTCTGTTTTAAACTAAGACCTTCGTGGTAAAAACATTAAAATGAAAAAATAAAAAAAATAATAAAAAGAAAAAAGAAAAAGAGGTAGCCATAAAAGCTTGTGCTAGTTAAACCCCATCTAAACCCTTTCCAAGGACAAACAAAAAGTTAACTAAAAACAAATAGTGATGTTTTGGCTGACAGATCTCAGTAATATCGACCAAGATTGAGTGAGATCGACAAAGATTCGTATGGTAAAAAGTTTTTGTCATATATAGATATGGGTGTGTGTATAATATGAATGTATATGTGTGTGTATACTTATGGGGATCGTAAGTGGTTTTTGAGGTTTAGTCTTTTTCAGTGCATGGGCTTTGTTTCCCAGTCAGGCCCTTTACTTACAGTAATCATTGCCTTTCTCTTATCCTCATCTGCATGGACGACTGTCCCTGTTTCTCACCCTTCTATGAACAATGACTGTTACTACAATGACACTCCTTCTCTGCACTCCGATCATAGCTTTTTACACATTTTTGGATAATTTGCAAAATTCAATTTCTCAACTTTCAAACATTTTCAAATATGTTGATACAAACTAACTCCTCTATTATCTAAAAATTGTCACTTACCTTCCATTTTATTCAGGTATGTCCTAATTTACCATTAATTTTGCCCATTTTTTATTTTTTTTTTGAAAAAAAGAAAAAAAAACCCTCAACTTTCAAAGATTTGTAAGGGGTAATTTGCAACATTTCTCAATTCTTTAAGGAAGTTAGGTACAAAAAGGAATGTTAAAGAAGAATAATCTACAAAAGTGTTAAAGTTTGGGGAGTTTTTTTGTTGTTTACCAAAAGGGTGTTACATGAATTTTACAACTTAAAATCACATGTTTGTATGCAAGTGGATACTATTTTATCCATTCCCTATCCGTCAACAAACTGCAGGGGATGATTTATAGAATATCTTAATTAATGCTCCTATTTTACTACTGATGTGTTGGGCTAAATCTATGAAATTGTGGAAGTTTAGGGGTATTTTGTGCAGTGTACTCTTACTTTTATGTCTACTTTGAGTAGGTGCTGGTGGCAGCGGAAGGTGGCGGTGGTGGTAGTGGTAGTATAAGTAAGCCACTACAACAGAAAAGGGCAACCTCAAAATAACGGTGCCTAAATTGTAAAGAAAGAGGCAGCAAGTGGCATTGTTTTGATTTCTTTTTTTTAGGAGTCTAGAAACAAAACATGGTTTATTGTTGAGGTTATGTTGAGGTTGCGGATGCTATTCCACTCAGAAGGATTACAAAATGATTTGGACTGGTTCATAATTTTTCGACCAATCCAACTGCTGCTGTGGATGAAGATTTTGGCTACTGATGAGCGCTGAAAAGTGCGCATGTAAACCCCTTAAGCTTAGGTATTTTAGAACATTTATCTATCTTATTTTCTGCTTTAAATTGATTTTATATTATTTCTATTTTCAGGTACTTATCCCTAAAATAAGCTAACTTAGTTAAATAAGAGCATAATTGAAGCAATCTTAAGATGAATCAAAGAAAGGAGCAAAGTGTGAGCAAAATAAAGCAAGTGGTGGAAATTCAGCAAGTTCGATCGATCTCAGAAAATATTCGATCAATCGAAATTTCATCGATCTCAACATTTCAAGATGGATCCAAGCTCTTTTGTCCTTATCCAAAGATCCCACAAAGTTCGATCGATCCAACTTTCTTCCTATCGATCGAAAAGATTCCATCTTATCCAGTTATACCACCCTACCTACCACATTTGTCTCTTTCCCAAAAATATCTTCAAAATATCTCATATTTGTCTTTATCCAAAAAGGCGCCGCCATAGAGAATCGATCCAGCTTAAGTTCGATAGATCTCAAGTTCGATCGATCGAACTTCCCAAAGCTCGAGAAAATCCAATTTCCAACTCATTAAAAGTTGTCTCATATCCAATCATTGGAAGGAATATTGGTGTACGAGCCCAACTCATTGGGGGTGATATTTAATCTACCTATATAAGAAATATGAGTCATTCTTGACATAGACTGGATATATACACTAGAGACACAAATTTCCATATTCTTAAAGAGGAAGAAAATAAGAGAGGAGGCTAGAGACACAAGCTTGGAATTCTTCCATCAACCAAGAAGAGAAGCAATCTCTACCATGGAGTTAGCCCTTAAGGATTAGAGGACACCATCCATGAGTGGCTAGACATCCTCTTGGGGCTAAAGTTAGCCCTAAGCATGCTTTCTACATCTTGATTTATGTATTTTTGAGGGGATTTGTATTGTGATAGATGTTTTGATATATTTATATATATAGATCTTATTTATTCAATGATTTGTGTGGCTTAATGCTTCCAATTGATCTCTATCCATATGTCTATGTATGCTAGAATAGTTGTTCATGTGTTTATCTCTATTTCTTGTGTTATTGATGCATGTCTATGTGTATTAATGCTATAGATCTAGAGATTGTTAAGACATAGTGCCTAATGAAATGCTCTTGTGGTTTATTTGATGGTTCATACTCATTTCTTGATGGATTGTGCATCTCCCTTAGTTTAATTAGTTTAATTTCATGCCATTAGCTTAATTGTAGTATAGTTGTAGTTTATATATTAAATGGGAGGACAATCCATAATTGTTGTTTGATGTTCCATACTTATGACAGCAAGTAGCATATTTCTCTAACCTTGTGATGTGTTTGGATTGTGAGCTTAAAAAAAGGATTAATAGCTTTGTTTGATATATTGTGTTATCCACCATATTGCTTAGACAATATATACTTAATTTGTCATTCATACTTATTGAAACAACCACACACACACTATTATTGCAATACATGTTTTCCCCCTCATTAATCATTCATTAAGGGTGTAAAAAAGTTATACTTAGTGGTAATCTCTAAACCCTAAGATCTCTCTCTTATTTTCTCTCCATTACATTTAATCGTTTACTTTAGTTTAAATTACATCTTAGTATAATTCAACCACCAACCAATATTTTAATCACTCAACCTACTAACCCTAATCTCGATTCCACAACCTAATACGACCCACCAATCCCTTGGGACGATCCCTACTCACCCTAACTATATTTTTAGTGAAAGGTAGTAGTGACAATTTCTAAATGTAAAACTTGGCCACATTCATCATAGCCGCACTATCTTTTGGTTCAAGCTTTGGTGGGCCGCCACAAGCCCCACCAGCTACCGTGCAAAATGGACTGGTTCAAATATTATGGACCAGTCTACTTGGGTGTGTTGTAAATTATTTAGTCAAAATGAACCTGTACAACTTTTTTAGACCAATTCATTTTTGACACTGATTTCATCAAGATGGACCGGTCCAACGTTTTTGGACTGGCAAGTTGCGAAAATTAGTTTTCTAAGTTGATTTTTTTACTCTCCAAAGGACTTAGACTTGTGGGGCAAGTTGTGACCAACCCTAATCAGACTTTAGGGGATGTGAAACATATGGTAATTTGTGTGCAAAAGTGATTAAAAGTTTTGTAAGAGACAATTGAGGGACAATTGTTTGAGAATTGTACCTTAATTGTTGAGAAATTTTGTGTCTAGAGAGAGCATTTGAACATTTAATATAATATCTATTTTTTTCAATATTAGTTGAACATTTAATATAATATCTATTTTTTTCAATCATCGTTTGTCTTTTCAACTTTAATGGTACTAGTTATCGGATTTCTCACCTTGCTCTTTACCCCCAAGTAACTTCCCAGTTATACAAAGTACTCAAAACTTCCATTATTCTACATAAAAACCTTTGCTAAAAAGGAGTTATACCAGTAATAGGTTGAAGACTGTGTTATCTAACACTTCCCTTTTCTTTTATTTTGCATCTCCCTGCTTCTACTCCTTGTATATATATTGTCAAAATCTAAGTTACAAAAAGAGGGAGCGAGAGCACAAGAACGATAAAATCTAAGTCACGAAGGTAGCACTCTTGCAGAAGAATTGTGTGACTTGGCTCATAATATTAGGTCACACTGCCACAGCGTACACAGGATGAAGAAGGTCTCAATGTGTGCATCACATACATGTAAAACACTAAAATTTGATCTAATACTCTATTTCATGGTTTCATAGAATCATTAGCAGTATGTACTACAGTGTTATATAAAGTTTTAAGGCATCGAAATTCAGACATGACCCTAGGCTTCTTAATAAGAAATTGACTTGTTACAGAATATCATCCTCTCCTGAATAAAAAGGTCAAAATCTACAAATTCATGTCATTATTGGTGTATACAACTTAAAATTCTTCGTTTTAGCTTATAAATTTATTGTTTGTTTACCATACACTTCTCTATTAATACATATATTGTACAGTAAAATTACCCGCTATGAATAATCTTGCTCTGCTATGTAGTATATACAATTTCCCTACACTTCAAGCTACATCCTTGTTACATTGCTCCTTCACAATTTATGCAAGTTTTTTCCTTCTAGTTTGAGTTGCTGGATTCTCTGGCGTAGTCTCCGCCGGTGGTCATGAATCTTCCAAAGACCATGTCCCAATATAACAGCAGAATATATGCCATGTGTAATGATGGGCGCAAGAATATTATTCGTCTGTTTTACATGCATCAGTACATAACCAAAACGATCCATCAATTCTCAGCCTCTTGAATTTCATAAAAGAAAATCAGATCAAAGACAGTAACTACAACATAAATTGAGTTATACCTGAATCCATTCGAATCCGAGGTAAAGGGCTAAAAGCCCTTCCAGCAGGGGAGAGTATATCTTTTTCATTTGTCTCCTCTCGTACCATGCTGCAAAATATTCATGAAAAATATGAGAATATAATTCAAATGGCGAGTAGGACATCTTAAGCAGCATGGTACGAGAGGAGACATAGAAATTGAATATTAAAAAACAGGATGATTAAGGAAACGAACTACAAAAAATCAGATCGTATACGATATTTTTCAGCTTCTAGAAAACGAGTATGCATTGTTTGACAAAAGTGAGGCGAAAGTGAGAGACGATTCACTAATTAGTTCTAAATGTTTGAAAATGCATTAAAATAATTGTTGAATGCCATTTGGCGTTTGCTTGGAAGTCCTGTAGATAATGAAATCATTCTACCATGTTTAATTACAATTGAAATTTGCGACTGCCTTAGATGAAGTCCATCACCATTATCACTAAAATCACAGTAAGGAGACAGAGATCAATATCTTTTTTAATCTTTTTTATGATCAACAGTGAACTAAACAATTCAGGTTAACCCTGCACAACCCACCAAAACCAAACACTCCTCCCCTTCCCAAATGTTCCCAGCCAGGGTCTTTAACCCACCAATTCCCTCAAAGAGCATAAAGGAACTCTTATTAGCACTTCCCTTTAGCTTCTCATGCTACACTTGTTTTCAATTTTTGTGCACTTTGTAATTAGCTTCCATATTGCACTTGTTTATTTTCAATTTTCATGAGCTTACTGCAAGAAACTAAAATTGGAATGCCACAAGAAAAACAATTCCATTCAGTGCCATGAGAGCGGGAAAAGAAATGTGTTTCAAATGTCATGTGAAATAAGAACAGATATGACAGCATATATAATTGCAAGGAGCAGGTGAACCTGTTTGAAATGTCATTTAAAACAAGATACGTATGAAAACATCTATAATTTCAGGGGAACAGGGTGGAACCTGCAAAAAGCTTTTTTAGGTCTTGACGACCAGAGTGAGATTGTAAAACTGGCGCAACGACATAAGTAGGATCTGAAATAAAAAAAGAAAATTGCATATAAATAACCGTCTTGCAAACCAAACTGGAGATAAGGAGAAACATATCAAAGAGAACTATGAGAAATCAACCTTTTGGAGAGGCAGCCATGTAATAAAGGGATCCTGTAAGAGCGGCTGTGATCACAGCTGCAAATGCCTGAGCAAATGGGACAAATGGAGGCAGAACGCCAGTCTACATTTTGAAGTTACAAAGAAGATTTTAGAAGTGTGTTACAATATTTAGCATATATTATAGGTAGAAACAGATCAATGAGAAGAGGCCATACCAGAGATGCCATTCCATGTGCATCTGTGATCAAACCATTGCTCCGTAGAAATATGTCTGCCAGTGCTCCCTAAAGAATTGAAAAAGAAAAGACAACCCCAAAAAATAAAAAATAAAAAAACAGAAGATTAAATTTCTAGTTCTAGATTGGTTCTTAACACAAACTGTAGCACTTTTTCAAGGTTTTTAAGCTGTAGAAAATGAAAAGGAGATATAATTTTTGAAAGAAAAAAATAACAAAATTGAAGTTTCAGAAAATGGAAACATTTTTTTTTAAAATACACAAATTATTGGAGCAGAGGTTTAGACGTAGGTCATTGTTAGAGAAGCAGAAAAGCTGATGAAAAAACCAAGAAATCGAAACCATTTTCACGTATACAAAGTAACAATGTCCACTGGATAAATACAATAGCCAGATATCCTAACAACATAGGGCCGCCGAAAAAAATTTCGATTGAAAGAACAGCTTAGAAAAGAAAGAAGAAAGTGTCAAAAAGAGTCACTCTCTGTTAGGTGACTTAAATTCAGGTTCAAGGTTCTGCAAATACGAGGGTCGAATCAAAACGGACGTGGGTTAAGGTAGTAAAAGAAGACAGACTAGAACATGATTTTACAGCAAATATGGCCTTAAATACATAGAGCGAAAAATACAGGATTCAAATTTCAATTGCAACTCAATTTAGTTAAAAGTTAAAATAAGGTTTTATGGCACTGAGTAAGTAGAAAATCACAGGATTGTGATTTATTGATATCAACCAGCCTAGTTTTAGTAACGATTGAAGCCATAGACACTGACCTGAACAGCAGCACGGTAGAAAAGCTCCTCACCAACAGAGCTTGCAGCAACGATGAGGATAAACTGTAACATTATATTTAAAAATGAATCAATTCTTCAAACTCTTCCTTCTGCTATTAAAGATACAGACTATGCATGAATTATCTAACTGTATGCAGTTTCCAACGTTTTCTACCTGCCATGGTGACATTCCATAAAAGAAGCTTCGTAGCTCCTCATCCTCTACATCTCTGATGGCACGAGCATGAGGCGATAGCTTCACAACTTCATCCTGTAAACATTAAGTTAATTTCCTTCGACAATATATTATACAATTCTAAAAAATAATTAAAACCAAAAAAAAAAATCATAAATTTGACAAAAAATATAAAACAGCACAATTTTTTTGTCCGTTCAGTTCTAATTTAAACAGTGACTCTTTAGGGTTCAGAAAGCAAAACAATTTATACTCAACAGGGACAAAGAAGGTATTAGATGAAACAAGAACAAAATATTAAAATTCATATAAAGAAATATATAATCGGTCCACATACATCTAGTATGAAGAGAAGAGCCATTATTGGTGGAGATGCATATCCCAGTCCTTGTACAATTGCATTTAATGATGGTTCGAATCCCCCCGCGCAATCAATTCCTGTCATTGAGCATATGAACCTCCCTGCTACAGCCATCGCACCATATATGCCTGATTTTCCAAAATAAAAATGAAAATAAATGAATCAGAGCCTGACATACATTCTTTTATTCTATTCCCAGTAAGTATTAGACAATGGACTATAAAAAGTGAAGAAAGAAAACATGAAATTTTATGGCATGACAGATAACTGTTTTAGATGGAAATTAAATTAGATAAAAAGTAAGAAATACAAATAAAACAGAAAAATTGTAAAAGCTCAGCATTTGCACAAAACAATCTTTATAACTAAGGTACCATTTGATAATGATATTGATTGTGGAATTGGATATGAGCAAGTACAGAAAATTAGGAAAAGAAAAGGAAAAAAATTAAGTACAAATAAAACAGAATATAAACTCGGAATTTGCACAAAACAACTTGTATAACTAAGATACCATTTGATTGTGGTATTGGGTATAAGCAAGGTACAGACAAAGTCATATTACCCAAACAAAAATATAAAGTTAAATTCATTTCTTTTAAATGAAAAGCGAATTATATCAAATTTACATCTCCAAAACCGTACAATTAAAATTAAACCCAAAAAAAAAAGTTTCTTAAGTTGTGTTTGAATGCATGAATTCGAGCCTCAGAATTGTAACCCGAACAAAATTAGTTCAAACAACCAAACTCGAATTCCAAAAGACCAATTCCACCTACCAAACATAGTGTTAATGTTTGAAAAAATAAATATATAAATAATAATAATAATAGTTCTAATGTGGGTTTGCGATTCGAAGTGCCTATATAACAATATGATTATTATAGAGCGAAGAGTAACTCATGTTACTAGAATTCATTGAAGCATGTCACATTTCTTTTCATTTTCCTACATTTTCTGACAAACCAAACATACTCAAAACGAATCAATAACTCACCGATTCCGTAGCTAAGTCTCACAACAGCTCCTATCTTATCCCAAACTGGGAACTCGGTTTCGCCGAAGCTCTGATTGAATGTGGTCACCTCCATAGCCGAACTCGTGTACCCTCCTCCCCCACTCTCTCTCTCCCCTCCTCTTCCATCAATCCCCTCACTTCTCCTATCCGCCGACGCCCTCACACTCCTCTTCGAAACCCTTACTCCGCCGGCAACACACCCCCTCTTCTTCTTCCCGCTCAGCGCCGGCAATTCACAGAGACCCACCCTACAGCCGGACGCAAACGACGTCGTTGGAGGGTTAGAAGCTCGAGAGATTAACGGGAACTCCATTTTTTCGTACGGTCGAGTTTAATGGTGGTTGAGAAGCAATTGCTTGTTTTGGCTGAGTGTGTCGTCCTCGTCTTCTTCGACGAGCATGGTCTGATTTGATGAGTGGTGTGCTCTGTTTTTGGAGGGACACGAATGAATTTGGTCCGTTAGTTTTGTTGTGATATTGGGTTAAGGAAGAAGTCAATATGATTCTTGAGTTGGGTTGGTGTGAGAGGGGTTCGGGCCCACTAAACGATGACAGAATCCAGATGTTAGGTTCTTTTTATCTTTTGGGACTAAAGGCTTGGGAATATCTGAAGGGCCAGTTACTGTATGCCACGTGGAGATAACACATGCCAAAATCATAAAAGAGTTTATCGTGTTATATATGCAGGTATTTATATATAAATAGAACTTTCTACGGTTTATATCCTTTTAGGGTCCATTTGGTCAGACGAAAATTTATAATGAAAAGTGAAGTGAAAGAAAGAAAAATCAAGTTTCCCACGTGCATTTGGTTAGTAAGAAAAATTTTTAAGAAAGTTGTCAAAAAATATTATTTTATTTGTTTGGATAGCATGAAAGGGAAAAGAAAATGATTTATTTACCAAAACTACCCTCATGATTTTAAATATAAAAAAATAAATTAATTTTGTATTGGATGAATCATCTTTATACCCAATTATTTATATTAATTTTTAACAATTAAATAGTAAAATAATGGATTAATAATTATTATTATTATTATTTATATTCATATTTAAATTAGACAAACTAAGGAGGACTATATTTTAGTTGTCAAATTCTTTTTATTTTCTGTTTTCAATAATAATTATTTATATTTATATGTAGAATATAATTCATTTATCATAACATACTCATGTTTTATCATAAAATAGTGGATTATTAATAATAATTCTTATTATTATTCATATTTAAATTAGAAAAACTAGGAGGACTTCATTTTAGTTGCCAGATTTTTTTATTTTGTGTTTTCAATAATAATTATTTATATTTATATGTAGAATATAATTCATTTATGATAACTCATACTCATATTTTATTGAATTATTAAATTTTTTTTTTTAAGCCCTCTCGAAGAAACATTAAATGCAACTCTAGGATAAAAATTGTCATGCAAAAGTAACATATTTTATAATTCACGCATAATAATTTTATGGTTCATGCATAATTAATCAGTCCCCTTTCATATTTTTTATGAATATGAACCACTTCTATGCAAATTTTTCTAATCACACAGTATAAAACTCAATTCAGTTCAAAACTGTATAGATAGTAAAAAATAAATATTATATGGATTTCCATCCATGTGAAATTGTTATGTCATATAAATAGTATGATGACTCAAATTAACCTCTTCCCATATTTCTATTGAGATATTAATAAAAATTAAAAGTTATATTATTTAATATTCTACCATTCCACTGTTAATTTATTTCCAAAAATTTTAGGTAACGATGTATCGGATATAATCAAATTATGTGTTCCAATATATAATAGTGGTTGGAATATTTTCTAAGTATGAATTTAATAATAAGTGAAAAAATAAAAAATAAAAATAGAGAAACAACTTGGCATAATAGGAATTTTGGAAATAAAATGATAGTTTGGTGCGAGAAAGTAAACTTTCTTGTGTTTTATGCGGAAAAATATTTTGAAAAAATTTATCAATACGAGAATCTCACTTTTCCAAAAATTTTCCCTTTCCAGGTAACCAAACTCCCAAAAATTAATTTTCTTTTCCGTTTTTTTTCCTTTCTACCTACTTCACGCTAACCAAATAAACCCTTATGAAATTGAATATATATATTTTTTTTAATTTAGATTTCATATGAAAGTTTTTTATTGCTTAAAAATAAATTATTGACCACAAAAGACTATAACTAATAAACCAATGGTACTTTATCACCGGGTTCAATTATCGCAAAATCCAAAAAAAAAATTAATAATAATAATATTGACCTTTTTAATTTCATAATTTCTGAAAATAAAATTTTATTTTAAAAAAGTTAAAATAAATATGCCTAATTTCTAAGGGCCCTTTTGCCTTTTCAATTTCTTATCAAGTGGACGCAAATGATTTTTTTTTTGTTGTGCTGTGATTGATATCTAAAGTAGCTAATTTTATCCCACATAGAGAGATTGCGTGAATCACATTTTAAAATTAGGCAGAGTACGATAAGGAGTAAATGCTAAAAACAAATACAGTATTTAATTTATATACACGTAGGTACCAGGTAAATGCTACAAGGGAATTTTAATTTATATGCATGTACCACAACAACTCTTCCATCAACTTTTAATTAATTCAAACATTTTACTTGGAAAATAAAAGAAGCATTCAAAAGATCAAAATAAAAAATAGATGTCGCGTGTATTACATAAATGCGGATTGTATTAAAATTGTGTATCACACAATTTTTTGGTCTTCAGCCAATCACGGATTTAGGAATTATTAATAGTCGGGTTAATATTAGTAATAATTTTTTTATTCTGAGCTAAATTGGGTAGAGCTTGAGCTCACTCTGATCCGCTAATATATTCGGCAAAGGTATAGGTCAAGTCCAATAAGTGTGGCGTGTAAAATAATTTTTCAAAATTAATGAATAAATTATTCTTAGATCTTAATATTTTTTTTTGTAAATATTTTATGACAATCAAATAATAAAAAATATATATTTTTTTAAAAATATTTTACATTCAAATAAATAGCAGCTAAATGTCAAAAGTCAAAAGAACACTGAAACTCCAATGCATTTAACAAAAGTTAATTGCTCTTTCAAGAATAGTGATTCATCTTTAAGAAGATGGCACATCACATCGGATGAAGTTGTGTTTGTGTTGTATTGATTAGCATCAAATAAGATCAAAACAGAACTACACAACTTGGTAACTAAATCAAAATCCAAAAAATATATAATACGTTAAAAAAAAAAAAAAATCAAAATAAAAAAATTGTGTTTATGAAGTGTGTATCAGCCCTGAAAATAGAAAAATGTAATGTAGTCATGTTTTTCAAAGGCAACACAGAAGAAGTACACGACTTGGTAGAGGAAATGGGAATATTCGATATCACATCCCATTAGGAATCACAACGTGAATAGCATAACACCTTGTTTTCCTCTCTCTTACTGTCATGTTCGCATATATATATATATATATATATATATATATATAAGTACGTACAACAATAGTAAGGAGTTCAGATTAGCATCGGTAATGTACATAAGGTTGACAAATCCACAACATTTTTTTTTAAATCCCAGTAGTAACGTGGTGAATGCTTGACCTATTAATTTAAAATTTTGAAAATCCAAACTCCAAAGTAGAGAAATTATAGGTGAGTCGCATTTTAAAATTAGGTAGGGTGTGATAGCGATTTTGACTTTGTATGCATGTACCACAACAACTCTTCCTTCAGTTCATGAACTTTTAATTAATTGTCTGTCATTTTGGGAAAGGAAATAAGCATTCAAAACTAAAATTAGATGTCTCAAGTATCAAGCAAATGCTTATTTAATTTACAAATCATATCATATACGGTAATTTTGAAATTATGTATTACAAGGACATGACTTTCACGTTTCTTTTTTTTTTCCGCTTTATAAATTTCAATACAATAAACGAGAAATTATTAGTTGCTTTGGAGTATCGACTTTGTAATATTTCTGATCAATTAATATGAACTATTGTTTATGGTCTGTATTGATTCACATCAAAGGTGATTTGATTTTTCAAGTAGAGAGATTTTATTATGGTCTGTGTTTATGGTCTGTTATGAATTGTATTACACCCATAAAAAGAAAATATTCGATTGACATAAAAATGAAAAATCCAAGCAGAGATATTTTATTATTGTTGTTAATATTAGGTAATGTATGACTTCATTATATGCATGTACACACTCTTCTGTCAGTCAATGAACTTTCAAATAATTCAATCATTTTACCTGGAAAATAAAAAGAAGAGTAATAAAATAAAAGAAGAATTCAAAACAATAAAATAGATATTTTAAGCATTACGTAAGTGCTTATTCAATTTATAATGTTGAAAACTTAAAATTGTGTATTGCAGTTTATGTGATTACCATGTTTAGGGATAGCTGTGTGAGTTTATTGTCCAGGTAAAAATTAAAAATTAATCTGATTACCATGTTTTATTTTTCCTCTTCCTCAAGAACATGAAAAAATAATAATTTGATCACCATTATTACCATAACAATATTATTACACTGATTTCAAAGCATTAATTACGACAGCCAATTGTCGAATGTCTCATAGGGTAATGGAGAGGGACAGCTTTATATATAAACTTTAATAATAAGTGTTAAGTCATTAATCACAAATTTCCATGAATCCCATATTTTAGAACTTTATGATTTTCACATATCTATAATGCATAAATAAATGGTTAGATATAAATATCTCAATTCATGATATCAAACTTTATTGAGATTAACTCCAACGTGTAGATCATTTAATCACGAACTAATCTGCAACTCTGATTAACAGACAAATGTGGAAACTGGTTTATCTTTCTTGACCTTTTGCACACATAAAACTTTTACGAGTTGTATCATTAATCGTACACAATTGATAGAGTATATGTACTTTTATAAAGGCAGAGAGAGGACCAGTTTTCCTTTTAGTAACATAATTCTACTTTCCATCAAAGAAAGGAAAACACTTCTCCAATAAGTAATTACCAAAAAGGTAATTATAAGTTGACCAAAAATAAATAATATTAATTGATATCTATTTACTTAGTCACCAAGTAATATGTCACATGTCCAAATCATGTGGGCCACAATTAAATAAATAATCTTAGATTCTCCCACTTGGCACATATGATAATTTCTGAGAGGATGAGAAGAGCTGGGTTTGTTAGAGAGGTGTATGTAGAAGACACCATTGACGGAGTTCGAGCTCTGTTGAGGAAGTATGATATTAGCTCCGTTTATACGCTTGACAGGACATAAATTAATTTGTTCTCAACATTACAATTAAATATAAAGTACACTCTCTCAGTCCTTCGGGTGAACTTGCTCTTACTCAAGAGTTTGAGGGTCTTTTCCTTTGACGGATGAGACGTTAGATTTGTCTTATTCCAAGAAGGAGCCGCCATGGATTGATCGATCTGGCCACAGTTCGATCGATCTCATCTGAATTCGGTAGTTTAGTAAAATAGTCAT